CAAAGATGGAAAGAAAAGGAAAGGCAATGCATATGAGTCAGAAGACTCATCTGACCCGAATCACGCTCTTTGTGTTCAAGGCAAGAAGGATTCACAAACCACCATAGGCCCTCTTTTGTGAATCATGGTCATTTGTAAGGGGATTTGCTACATTTTCTAAGCCAAATCCTGGCCAATAAATTAGGAAGCAGGATTATTTATGGCACACGTTCCCTACAAAAAAAATGATGGACTGCTTACCATCAAGGGTGAAAGAACTTCTCCACCTTTAGAAATAAAGCATAATTCTCTTCATGATTCTCTTCATCATAACTCCATAGTGGTAGGAGAAAAATGGTGGACTATCACGTCCAGGATGCCATGTAGAAAAACTAGAAGGGAGAACAGAAACTAGAGCAACAACTGTGCTGGGCATGTAATTGATAAAAGGGAAAAATGTTGCAGGTACAGCATCACCAATGCATTGAACTTGAAGTTATTTCTGAAGTGGGTTCTAAATGGGAGCCACCCAGTCATTGAATGAAAAAAAAGAATGCAAATTATCTGGGTAAAAGGTGCCTCCATTCATACCATGACATTGCAATTTCATTAAGGTAGAATTTTACCTAACTCTAGAATAGGCAGTTCTTAATCCAAGAGGCTTCAGAAGTTCACCAGATAAGCAATGTTTTCCCCCAAATGTTTCTCTAATTTGGACAATGAAAAAATTATAGGTGCAGAATTTCCCAGTTCTTGCTTGAAACAAAAAATAAATAAAAAGCTATCATTGCTTATTAAAAGCTGTATTTGACCTTTTCTTATCCATATGATCCCAGCCTAATACCTAAGTCAATAGTGTACAGAAACAAGGAAGGTATCTCAAAGAGATCCACACAAACAGAAAATTAGGGAGCAAAAATATGTACAGAAGGCAATTGCACTAGAGCTCCAGCGTACAGCAAAATTCAGTTATGGTCAGAATCTCAATTTTTCTTCTTTCTCCCTGATATCTCTGTTGACACAAGACAAATGAAAGTCTGAACACCTTGCCAAGAGTTCATGAGTTCCAACTCTTCGTTGGAATGCCTTCAATTCTGTACTAGGGCTGTAGCATTTGTACATATCAATCTGCCAGGAACTTTGGCTCACGGGATTTTTGGTTCAAGCACTTGAAGGAGTTTGTTAATCCAAAACTAGTTTACTATCCAAGCCTTTCCTGGAAGAATGATGAATCTCTTGTATCCATCCTGATTAATATCAAGGAGAAAAAGAAGTCTGGGCCCATGACTTCTAAACGCACACGATCAGAACAGGAAATATGTCTTTGCATCCATCTTATAGTTAAGATTAGACCTTTTTTTGCTTTCAAGAAAAGTGTAATTCATATCACAGTGACTCTTCTCCTACTAATCTATGAGGCATGTCCTCTCAGGTTAAATGATCTTTAGTAAAACTAAATGGCAAAAAAATGGGTATTCAGCTCTACTAGGTAGGTGAGTGTTAGAGATAATCCATTTGGGATGTGATTTGGAATTTCATGAAACATAAAACCAAGAGACAACTACCCATCCTTGTAACTTAAGAACAAGGTAAAGTATTTCAGGGTGCTTCAAGCTAATAAATGTCTTTTAGAGACCATTGCCACACAGGATGTGACCTCAGGAAAGTGTGCCTTAAGTGTCTTCTCCATCTACATAATTCCCGAGAAGACTAAAACTGGAAAATGAACCTTACATATGATATGTAAAGTTTGGATTTTTTTTAGTCTGGTAGAATTGAACACCGAGTGCCCATAGTGTTCTATCCTAGAGACCACTTTGACTAGCTTCAGCTCTACATAAGGAAATTGAATGGGAACAGCTCCAGAGTAGTAATCTATTTATTCTAGCTGTTTATTTTTTAGATATGCAGTTTCCACAAAAAAAGAAAATGAAAATGAAATCTTGATGAACCAGCAGGGTTTCTAGATGTATGCAAAGGCATGGGGTAAAGGCAGGTTTAAGGTTTCCTAAGTTAAACAAGGGACTGCTAACGAACATCATGAAGAAAGGAAATCACACTGTTTCTCCAGGAATGTTAGAGAATACCTCACCTTTTCAGCACCTTAGTTACCTTAGCGATAGTACTTCACCTCTTAAGAGTACAATATTCCAGAAGATCCATTCTTTTTATGTGGCACTTTCCATTTAAAATTGATTCTTCAAGCACTAACATGTACCACATGAGTCTAATAGACAGGGTCCAGTTACAATTTTGATATGGGGATTTATTTATTAATGCTTCTATATTGTCATTAAGGGAGGACTTGTGTATTTTCCACTAAGGCAGGATGTCTTACAAATGGATTGCTGTTTCATCTGTAAGAAAACTTTTCAGCGATCACAACAAAACATTTGACCATACTTTTACCCATACTCATTACATGCAGGGAGTATATTAGGCACAGCTGGACATATTCAACGCACTTAAGATTTTACTTAAATTCAATTAGAATTTTGTCAAAGATCCCATTTATATCCTGTAAAGTGGAGAATGAAGGAAAGAGGGTTTCCTTCTTCACTCTTAACATTCAACTAGGAAATACAACTTTAATATATTCAACAAAAGGCAAATAGATATTCCAAAGGAAAAAGACAGCTCTATTCAATTTTGAAAGGAGTACTAATTAGTACTAAAGCAGTACTAATTACCTTGGAAGCAGAATTATCTCTGACATATACCTGTAATGCAGTTGCTTGGACCAACTTTTCTACTTTAATCTGGCACTACAACATAGATGTCCCTGTCTTTGATTATACAACTCTGCAGAAAGTGTTTGAAGATTACCAAGCCCACACTGTAGGGCATACTTTTTGTATGAGTCCTATCATTCCCAAGGCCAAGAGACTAACACTTGAATTTCCCACATAGTATCTTCCTGATCAACCAGATGATAGAATTGGAGAAGAAGTTAGTATCTTATTTACCAGATATATTTAGGCTATATCTCTTTATGTAAAATTTTGTTGTTTCTATTCTACTACTGGTAGTTTCAGTTTGTTGATTGCAAGTACAAATAGGAATGGCCAAAATGAGGCATTTCAGCAATGGAACACAGTGTTTTTTTCCTGAATCAAATGCCCTGATCTGCACATTCTGGGGCTGGTTAGTGCAACTCCAGAAGCATATTGATCATAAAGTAGTGTTGTTGTTTTTTGTTTTATTTTTTGGGGGGGGAGGTGTCTAAGAATATTTTGACATGTCCCTAGTAATATAGTAAGTAAAGTCAGTTCCTCTGATTGAATAGATTGTCCCAGAATAGAGGAAGGAAATTCTTTAAGGACCCTGCCTTCCTTCTGATTTGTGCAGATGTAAATTCATTATTATATTGGGTCCATTGTTGGTGACTGGAAGGATACCTCATGGTAAGTCCAATACAGTACCATTCTGGGGTAAAGGAAGGATAGATAGATAGGTAGGTAGGTAGATAGGTAGATAGATAGATAGAATGAATTCTTTATTGGCCAAGTGTGATTGGACACACAAGGAATTTGTCTTTGGTGCATATGCTCTCAGTGTACATAAAAGAAAAAATACATTCGTCAAGAATCATAAGGTACAATACTTAATGATAGTCATAGCATACAAATAAGCAATCAAATCATATTAGGAAACAATATAAATTGTAAGGATACAGCAACAAGTTACAGTCATACAGTCATAAGTGGGAGGAGATGGGTGATAGGAACAATGAGAAGATTAATAGTAATAGTAATGCAGACTTAAAAACAGAACTCCTAGAAAATCATTAATTCAAACTATGAACTATAATGTACAGTGATTTTATTTCTTAACAGTTTTGGAACATTTTCAATCAGGTGGTAGTGAAGTAAAAGGAAGTATTTGGGTGAAAGAATAGTTTGATTTCTTGAAGAAATTCCTGAGTATCTGCCAACTTATATAAGAATTTTATTTTTAATAGCAAAAAAGCCACAAAAACTCAGACCATCTGAAAAGACACTTAACGGTAATACTAGCTAGAGTGAAGCCATCTTCCTGACATCTGTTTTTGCTGTCACCTAGCAATCTATGATGATTAAACTAAATTAGGAGTGAGTCTATTCTTTGTAGCTTAATTTGTAGTACATTAAGTTTGTAAAGACCCAACTGTCGAACTTAGTTATTAGTATTTCAATGGTCACTAGTATTATTAGTATTGACTTGGTGTCTTGTGTTTTTAATCAATAAAAAATATACTGGAAATATACTGAAATGTGTGAGCTGTATATATGTTATATAATATATCATATAATATAATATACTGAAGAAGTAGGCAACAGATTTGTATTAGGTGATTTAGTACAGCCTATTTCTATAGTATGTCTGGCCTTAAATGGGAATCAGTATCATTTAATTGCACATTTTTAACACTGCATTGGATTACAAAATAGATTCTATTATATTATGGGTTTGATGCACATATTAGGAGAATATTTGTCATTATGTAACCCACCATATTGGATGTAAAAGATCACATTGGTGATATGGATTAATGATCTTTTTGCTATTAAAGTGGGCTATTCTTATTCTTATAGAATATTGTACAACTGCAGTTCTTCTAATTCTAACTTGCTGGTTCTACAGCACAGATGTAAAGCCAAGTCTGCAACAACCATAACTAATTTTAGTTAAATCTGAACCGGACTGTCTTACAAATCCTGAAACATATTCTTTATTTTAACTAGCTTTAATTGGTAATAATAATAGACGCAGACATTTGGAAATTAGTAATGTTTAGCCATTAGATATTTTCCTGAACAGGAACAATAGGGCCTATACTAATCTCAAGTAGTTATTTAATATTGCTTAAGGGTAGCTATTATTTTCTTACAGTTCTGTTTCTTCACATGTCATTCATTATTCATGCCATCCAATGCTTCTGTTTCTGTGGCTGTCTTTGAAGGTCACTCCTGCTACAATTGTGGCTTAAAGTTCTATTCAGCCTGTTTATAAGTCAAAACCTGCCTCATCCTTGTCCCTAGGTATGTGGCCATATCTCGAGAGGAGAGAGAGCAGAATCTAATGGCATTTCAGCACAGCGAGAGGATTTATTTTCGGACTTGTCGGGACATCCGGCCAGGGGAGAGACTGAGGGTCTGGTATAGTGAAGATTACATGAAGCGGCTGCACAGTATGTCTCAGGAGACCATCAACCGAAACCTCACAAGAGGTGAGTTTTTTTTTTCCCTTACACTATTTGTTTATGTCTTTATTTTTGACCCGGTTATCAGGCAGTTCTTGCAAAAAGATGTATGAAAAGAAGTCCACAAATTAAAAAATCAGCAGTGTAAAATAATAGGTTGAAATAAACAGATAATACAGTTGAAATAGATCCATCAAATAAAGTATATACTGTAAGGGATATGGGGGAATTTCATCTATATACTGAAAAGTAAGCAGCATTGTCTTGAAGGAGATATTTTTGGCTTGATTTTTGGGATGGAGGGGGAGAGGGGTAAATAGGGCAGATACAGTGGCTGTGGTAGAGTTGTAATGTCCTTTTCAATTTGCAAAATACCTGTATCTTTCTGGCAAACACAATGGCTGTCATGATGCTTAAATCTGACAATGAACTGCAGCTATTAATATTCACCAAATATACCTGACTAGATTTATATACCAAATACTGATGAGTGCTGGAGAATGAATGATTTCTCCACTGACAGAGATCAAAACATTCAGAATTAATTGGGAACTTTCCAAATATATCCAGGCAGTAGAACAAAGATATCCTGATCTCTCAGGATAGTGTGCATGCACCATTATGGGTTTTGCTTCCTTTTTAGTGTAAAGGTCCACTCAGAAAAATACTTTAAAAGGGAGCTTCACCTAGTTGATTAAAGTTGATGGTTGAAAGAAAGGAAGAAGAGGATCCAAATGAAATTATTTTCCCTGTTATTTTTTTCAACACTATTATGGGCAATTTATTTATGTAATGTATTTTGCATGGAGCTGTATGTTGTCCTGAAACTTGAAGCAAAAATGGAAGAGGTAGATCCTGGATGAAAAAAACCCCCTGTTTTTCATGTAGTATCCAACAATTTTCTTTCTACTAATTGGACCGGCCTATATGCTTTAAAACTTAATTCTTGGCAAGTGCTGAGAGAGATGCTGATAATTGGGTCATAATGAGCTGGGGCTCAATGTGTGCAAGTAGGCTTGTGTAAATACACATTTTCTTAGTTACAAAACTGTAGAAATGATTATATTTATGAAAAGGTTATTGTTTTTAGTTTTATATTTTTTGATTAGCCGCAATCTTGGTTAAAGTTAAAGGTAGTTCTCGTACATTTCTAAGCATTTTGATTTTAAAATCTCATATCAAATTGGAGTGAAAAATGACAAGAGGTAAAAAAAAATGACAAGTTTAAAAATCAGCATGTCACAAACTCCAGGTGCTCGTTATTCAAAGTGGTAGGTATCCAAACTGTATTTCCTTATTTCCTGACCTATGGGTATGTGTGCATTTGTGTTTCTGGAGCAGTACATGAGTACAGTTCAGAAGATCATTGGGAACAACAACAAAATAGCAGTTGCGATAGATCAGTCACCCAAGACTCAAGGTCTAGACAGACCAATCTGAGCACAGCCTGGATTGACTACAGGAAAACCTACAACTCAGTGCCACTCACATGGATCTCTGAATGTCTGCACTATACAAAGTGACCAGGACACGAAGGACCTTCCTCAAGAACTCAATGGGACATTGGAAGATAGCACTGGAAGTCAACTCAAGGCAGCTCACACAAGTGGCCATCAAGTGTAATATATACCAAGGTGATGCACTGTTCCCTCTGCTGTTCTGCAAAGGCAAGCCAGATATTCACAAGAACTGGATATGGGTACAAGTTCAAAAGTGGAACTACCACCAGCCATCTCCTCTAAATGGATAAAACCAACTTTTATGCTAAGAATGAACTTGCTGATCTTGATTTACCTGACACAAATCTACAGTGAGGATGTTAGGATGTCATTCAGACTGCAGAAATTTGGCGAAAATGATAGTCAAAAGTGAGAAAGTAGTTAAGACTGAGGAGGTGGAACTATCAGTGGGTTACATACCAAACATACAGATTAGTTACAATTATCTTGTTATACCACTGTCACATGGGAACCACAGTGGGAAGGCAAGGAAGACAGCAACATCAAGTACCACCAAAAGATAAGTCAGATCAGTGGGAAGAACAAAATCCATGCCATTAGGATGTATTCCCTGCCAGTCTTAAGATATCCTGCTGGTCAAAACAGGACAGGGAAGCTGCTGATGTGAAAACCCAGAAGCTCTTCACAATGTATGGAGGTTTCCACCCCAAATTCCCAGAGATTGTACACCAGCCAAAAGAAGGGCAGATGGCATCTGGTGAGTGTCAAAACCACTGTTCTGGATGAAACCCAGAACATGCAGGAATGTATCAGTAAAATGGCAATCAAAGATGTGCTGCTTAGAGAATGTCTGAAGCAGCAGCAGATATGGGAGGAAGATCAAACAGTGCCATAGCAAGACAAGAACCTGCATGGGATGTAACATTGTCAGATAACTGAGGTGGCAGACATTGGGAAATCCTACCAGTGTCTGGAAAGAGTTAGATTAAAAGACATCATTGAGGCACTGTTCATAGCAACATGAATAGTCACTAAGCACCAGATCCAAAGAAGCAGATGTCTATTATAGTAGGTACTGAAGTATGAAGCTTCAATATGAAGCTACTGTGATCATTTTTTTCCTCGTCTGATTACTGGTTAATGCCTTCTACAGCCATTTTGGATTAGATTAGTGGAACGATCAGACACTTGATTTGTGAAGAAATTCGACCTGTTTAATGCTTTATCCATACTTTACAAACATAATTCAGGCATTATTTTGAGGTAATGCTAGCAATAAATACTATATTTGAATTATCTTTTCAAAGATGTTTTATTATCACAATGTTTTATTGTCACATATGAAATATCTAATGGTCTGTGGAGCCCCTTTGGCTGAATTTATTATTTTGCAATGAAAGAGCTTTACTTTTAAACTGTAACCTAGTGTTATATCAAGAGTCAGAACTTCTAATGAATTCCAACTGTACCTCTTTAAATAAAAGAGCAGCCATTAAGCACATCCCATAGCCAGTCCTGCTGGTAAACTGATTTTAAAAAATATTCAAATATTTGGCTCATCTATGCAAAAGTTGTAATATTTATATTTGCAGCAAAACCACAATTGAACATGACTTAGGAAATGCAGTTTATTTCACTTTTCCAATACCAACAAAATCTAATATTTTTGCCTTATGCTTTGACTTGGTAAAAGAAATTATATTTCTGAATACATACATACTCTCTGTTTTATTCACATACGTGTGTGTGTGTGTGTATGGATGGATGGATGGATGCATGCATGTATGTATTATAAGCAAATCCTTAAACAGAAAAAAGCCAGATGCAGAAAATTTGCTGGAAGGAAAATTCCTTCTTCTGCTTCTCTCCAGTTCAGGATTAAGTTTGTTAAACAATTAAAGTTACGGCTAGCTGTTCTTGAATTGGCTTATGAAAACATACCAGGTCAGTGGAAGCAAATTCTATATAATATAGCAATAGCAATAACACTTAGACTGACACACCGCTTCACGGTGCTTTACAGCCCTCTCTAAGTAGTTTACAGAGTCAGCATATTGCAACAATCTGGTCCTCATTTTACCCACCTCAGAAGGATGGAAGGCTGAGTCAACCTTGAGCCAGTGAGGCCCGAACTGCCAAACTGCTGGCAGCCAATGATCAGCAGAAGTAGCCTGCAGTACTGCATTCTAACCACTATGCCACCATGGCTCTTATATAGAGTAATAATTAGGCAATTGAAGATGTTTAAAAAGACATATCTGAATGTTAAGATAGTAGTGAGTAATTCTCTGAAAAATGCAGCTGACCTCTTCAGATCTATTATGCATTCCCCATATGGAATTACCAAGGACCATACTGCTGAGATTTGGCACAAATTGTTGATGTTCAGTTTTGTAATTTTTCCTTTTAAACATACACTACACATAACACCCATGCATCCATACAAGCCTTCTAGACTCTCCTGAAGCCTAAACAAATTGTAATAAGTATGCAGTCCCTAGCTTCAAAAATAGTACTATCCCTGCCTTGAGAATGATGCAGCTAGCTCTGTCCTACCGTCTCCTGAAATCTCAGGGAAGAAACCACCCTTGTAGACTCTCATTCTGGCAGCATTGGATAATGTATTTGTTCTGGCAGGATTTTATGGATGTTGTTCACCTGGAATTGGAGATGGGAACATGGCTAATTCTTAAAATAGTCTGTGTATCTTGAACGTGGAAGTGGATTTTTAATCTTCTATTTTGCCTAATCCTGGAATCAGTGTCACAGAAATCCCAGAAACTGAAAATTTAGAGATGAACTTGATCAGTGAGATCTAAACACTTATACATACCCAGTAATCTATCATCCATACTCTTTGTACATACATTTCAAGAATACTTTTGTGTGATAAATATTGTTGATATTGTAACTGGGTGAAGTCTCCTAACAAATTAAAATTCTCTCCCCTTGCTAGGAAAGGAAAATTCTGAGGAGACACATTTCATAGTTGGGGCTTGGCTATAAAACGTTAGTTATTGAAGTTAGTTGGTGATATGTCTTTATGTAAACAGAAAAATTACCTTGATTCAGAGTTTAATGTTTTGCTGTGAGAAAGAGATGAAAGGAATTACTCTAGGACAGGTTCTATTAGAAGTGTTAAGTTATATTTTGTGGTTAAACATGATTTTCTATGCTGGTTTTATATGAGTTACGACTTTAAAGCTTTTTTCTTTCACTCTTGTATGTTCACAGGGAAGTACTCCCTGAGCATTGTATAGAGTAAGATCTGGTATATAAATCATATAAATTAAACCTGATACTAAACCATAAAAGGAAGAGAAAGTTCCTGTTTTACTGCAGGGAAATAAATTAAATCAGTTGGTGGCAGTCTATTCACGACAGGGAAAATTCCTGTAAAGGAAAACACCTTGAATATTTATACTGTAGTTGGCAACTAAATACATTTATTGTTTCTGCTTTTTTTTTTTTTAAGCGAAAGCTATCCAAAGTCACTGTGAATTGGCTGGCAGCTAAATTTAAATAAACAAATAAACAAACCAGGTGTTCAAGAGAAGATTTGGATGGAACTTTTAGAGAAAGGTTCCTGTACCACTTGAGATATAGTAGGAGAGAGCCCACATTATGCAAACACTATATCTTCTTGGAGGAACCCCAATTCTGGGTTGCAAAGACAGGATTACCACCAGATTATAGTAAAATGTTAAAGTTTTGTTGCCATCCTGGTCCTCCAGATTTTTCCAGCCCAGGTCTGGTAATCCTGCCTATTTGCATATATTGTCCCTAATTCTGAATTAATCATTAATTTAAGAACTTCATTCTCAGTGATAAATCTCCATCTCCATCTCCATCCAATAGGATAGGGAGATAAATCTCCCTATCCTATTGAAAAATGTTTCATATGAGATCTCTCAGATATGTTCCTTTTAATCTACTACAAAAATATGTGTTATACCTATTAATTTAAAATATTTTAAAGGAAAGCCTTCTTAAAAAAAATATAGTTAACTAAAATAGCTGCATAAAATACTTGTGATAGTGGGCTTCAGTAGCATACAATAATATCCGGGTTTTGAAAATGATCAAGAATAGTGTCACCTACACATCCCATGGTATGCCAGAAAGACATGTTATTTTTAATCTAAATCTAAAAAAAAATTCTTGAAGATGTTTCACTTCTCATCCAAGAAGCTTCTTCAGTTCAGAACTGAAGTTCCTTGGCTGAGAAGTGAGTCTTCAAGGAAAAACAAAGTCCAGTTGCCTTTTGAAAAAGTACCTTTGGGATTATAGATAAAGCATGATTTTTTTCTCTACTGATTATAAGTATCAAGCAAGATAATAATGACTACAAAGGGTGATTGCATTATCTAACACGGAGCCCTATGAACAGACAGACAAAATTGTAAAAATAAATAAAACAAATAATTGGATCAAATTCCATCACTTCTACCAAGCATCAGGAATAGCTGAACCATTAGCAGAAGTAGAATTCCAATTAGCTAGAGCAGGAATCTCCAACCCCCGGTCCATGGACCAATACAGTTCACAGCATGCCAGAAACCAGACCAGGCAAACAAGCAAAGCCCCATCTGCAGGATGCAGGCAGCACGTGAAACCACGCCCTCTCCGGTCCGTGGAAAACCTTTCTCCATGGAATCGGTTGCTGGTGCCCAAAAGGTTGGGAGCCGCTGAATATCACACAGGCCACTGAGTTTTCAGCCAGCTGAAGTTTCTAATTTTTCTTCAATGGAAGCTCCACAGAGAGTATTTTGCAGTAGTTCAAGTGAATGGTGATGAAGGCACGAGTCACTATAGTAAGATATTGTTGCCCCAGATTCTTCTGTTGGAACTAATGTCCCAACTGAAGCTGATGAAGGATCTCCTGGCTACAGCTTCCTCCTATTGTTCTAGCAGGACCACAAGTCCAAGAGGACCTCCAAGCTATGGATATGCTTCTTCAGGAACAGTGCTTTCTAACTCAGAAATACCACTGGAGCCACCAGAGAATCCCAATGGACAAACAGTATTTTTCCTTTAAGGTGATTAGAAATGTCCTTATCTGCAATGACACTTCAACAACTTCTCTCAGATACAAGTAATTATTCTGTCAAGGACCCAGGAGAGGCAAGGATCACATGACAGCAGGGGATTTCTTAGAGAGCATCCAATGTACTTCCTCAGAAGTCACAAGCTAAAAGAAAACCCCAAAACATGGCAACATTATGTTTTAGTCAACACTCTAGGCTCTGCTCAGAATAGAACAACTTTGATAAACTTTACAGACAAAATGTTGTGCTAATTTGTCACATTTCTGGGGGCTCTGAGAAAGCCAAGGGGCCATCTGAAATTGGTGGACAGAGACAGGTTGCTCAGGGTGATTCATGATTTTTTCGAGGGCATGTTGCCAACAGCAAACCAGACCTTTGACTGATTCACCTGTCAGATTGTCAAGGAAATTACAAGCATCCATTAGAAATCCAGATCCATGTGGTACTGGGGTGGACACACAGCCATCAGTCACATCTAGACCTGGGAGTGATCTAACCATGGCAAAAAGCTGATGGTAATAGCCTTTATAACAAAATCACATTATAGAGATTCTGAAGTAAATACAAGGACTAATTCATGTCAGTTCCATGAATTCCTGAGGAAAACCCATGGTTACCATGGAGATCATGAACTCCATATCAATCCCTCATTGTTAGAGGGAGGGAAGAACTCAACTACCATCCTGACAGATCCAGAAGCCCAGAAAGGCTTCTGATGGGTGTCACTGATGCTTTTTGACTCCAATCCAAATCTGCTTACTCCTTTCATCTACCAGATCTCCTAACCACCAACAAACCAAACAGCAACTTCTAGAAGCTTGGTGAATCTTTCAGCATCAAGGCGCTTAAAACATTCCCAATCTTCCAGACTGATCCTTCCCTCATACATACTAAAATGGTATCCAAAACTCCAAATATATTCATATTTCTATTTCTCCACTTTCAAGTCTATACTCCATCCTTCGATCTGTTTGACATCATCTTGAAAACAGTAACCTATTAATAAGCTTTGCTATTTTGAAGAAACTCTCAGGTGATTCCAGCAAACTGAGTTTACTAACATAATTTAGTCAACTTTCTTGATTTAATTAGTTTTTGTAGCCTCTGGCTACATGCCATCATCAGCACCAGCATGGCTGCTAGAAATCTTAACATGTTCCCTAAGCCTAAAAGCAGGGCTTTCAACCCTATTTTTACATCCACCGTGTTGGAAGCAATCTATTTTTAAAAACTCTATGTTTGCCTGGTCTACAAGTGGAACAAAATGACAGTGTATATGAGATGATTTCATCACGTAGATGCTGCAACTTACATACTTGCACTAGGTATAATATTAAGGTCCCTGGTATTTTATGGACACAACAGTTTTTAATTCCAAATTTTACTATCCGTGGTTAAGATGGAATAGATTTTTTTTTAAAAAAAATGTGAATTACTCTGTCAAGCCTCAAATAAATACTCAGATAGAAAGGTGTCATTTAAAACATTTGCCACATCCTAACCAACCCACCAGTTAGTGTCACACTCTGAAAACTAAATAGGATATGGAATTGACTGAAATCTTGCACATTGTATGTATGGTTTTTTTTAAATTTCTGAATCAAAATAAGTCCTCTGCAAATTGATACATGCTTACAACAGATTGGTATTGGTTAGAAGTTCCAATGCAGCATCACAAAACCTGGAGTTGCAATAGTTGCATAGCAATTTTCCTCTAGTGTCACAAGTAGATAAAACTATTGCAGTTGCTGAGGACTATGGTGCTAGGATTTGATGAACCACATCTATACTAAAGCTGTTACATAAGCAAAGTGTGTTTCTTAAATATAATATAACAACATTAAGCAGCACCTTGTTTGGAAAACAACCAAGTATTGATGCTTGGAATTATTTACAAGACAGAAGAAAGATAGAATCAAATCCATCATCTTCTGAATTTCCAGGTAAGGATATTTGGCTATTTTTTCTAAATAACTGCTAATCTGCTAAAATCTCTGCTTTTGGTAAATTTTGCTTAAGTCCACACATTTACCAATGTATTACAGCAAACTATAGATCTCAGTCTTGGATATTACTGGCCTGGTTCTAATTAACTGTGTAGGTTACCGATATGGGAAATGAGATTGTAATTCCTGCGTATTCTCATGTCTCGTGTCATTCTATTATACAATGGAAAGGTCTATCAAGTTTACTGGTTTAACATGGAAACTTCATAGTAATAACATGATGCCTTTTACCAAGTCAAAGTTATCACTACATTTTCAGCAAGCTGAAACGTCCATATTTTATTTTAATTTCAATTACAGGTTAGCTACCTGTTACTTTAGATTAACTACCTATTCTTTGAAGTGTATTGAAGCAAACCTCTGAATATTACCTAGATATTGTTTGATTTTTCAATATTACCCATCATTAGGGTGCCTAAGCATTTATTCCAGTAAATGTATCTATTGGTTATGCAACATATGAAACGTTTATCCTACCTTTTTGCTTTAGCTTTTGTGTCAGGAATGTTGTAGTGTTCCCATGAATAATCATCTCCTGATTTCTTTTTTAGGGGACAGAAAATTACTAAGAGAAAAGACAGAAAGAATTATAGAAAGCCAAGAAGATGTGATCTACCCTCTTGAGCTCACTACATCAAAACCAGGGAAGAGTTCCTACAAACGTAGCTTTGAAGAAGGGATATCTCAACCCCAAACCAAGAAAAAGAAAATAGACCTCATCTTCAAAGATGTCCTAGAGGCTTCTCTGGAATCAACTAAGGTAGAAGATCATAAGTTCACCAAAAATTCTACCCCTTCCACTCGAAAATCCTTGAGATTCCAAATTCAAGATGTCTCAGAAACTTGTGGGACTAATGTTCAAGACAGTTCTCCTAATCACAGTAGACACAGAAATGAGGGTGAGTGGAAGGTCCCTCACGGTTCTCACTTTACCACATCCAAAGAAATTGGCTTGCTGGAAGAAGAAGGTGAAGAACCTTTGTCATTTAAAGTGAACAGCCCCACTGATCTGTCTCTGGTGTCAAGTCAAGATGATGCTCTCGAACTCCCAACAACTTCCTTGTGTCCCAACTGCATACGGCTGAAAAAAAAGATTCGGGAATTGCAGGCTGAGCTAAATCTGCTAAGATCTGGCAAGTTAGCTGAGCCATCTCTACTACCTCCTCAGGTACCTGAGTATCAAGCATTTTCATATCCCACTGGTAAGTTACACAAAGTAAAAATGCTCCTTAAACATTATACTAGGAGATGTTACATTTCTGAGGTCTCATGGTTGGGTCTTAAGAAGCACAGGCTTAATTCTCTGAGCAGTTTGGGGTATTATAATTATAATTTGTAATGATAAATTATCTTTCTTTTTTACTGTAATATGTTCATTTTCAATAAAAACATTGCAGCGAATTGGTTTGCTATGTTCTTCATACATTACAGGAGAAAGGATCATAGGCTGTCATTTTGAATGCTGTTTAGGAAGTATGTTTGATTTCCTGTGTGCTATGTGAAATATACTGGTTCATATGTATGTGAAACATATAAAACAAAGTTTACATTTTATGTAGGAACTTACTCTTAACTTTGTTGACTTGTGTTTGTTTTTGAAGAATTCTTTCATTTCCTTCCATGATACCTCAATAGTTCTTGTTATAATATGGTACTAGCTAGAATACTGCTGAGGTTACTTTTTACAATTGCTTAGACTTAAGGAAATTAGGACTTTAAAAAAAATAGTGGTTTCGAAACATTTATAATTCAACCTTACCCCAAATAACATGTTCATTTTTGTTGAAAACAAGGGACATCTGTAGATATGGATGAAGTGTTGTATGATTACCTTACTGTTTTATGTTGTTTTCTAGAACTTTGTCTTAAATTGTCTGTAATTCTTTTTTTGTTTGTTTGTTTGGCAGCTTCAGAAAGCATCATGTCTGTCCCTACCATAATGGAAGATGATGATCAGGAAGTAGATTCAGCAGATGAATCCGTTTCAAATGACATAATAACAGCCACAGATGAGCCTTCCAAGATGTCTGCTGTCACCAGAAGGATCCGGCGCTTCAAGCAAGAGTGGCTAAAAAAGTTCTGGTTTCTGCGGTACTCTCCTACGTTGAATGAAATGTGGTGTCATGTCTGTCGGCAGTATACAGTGCAGTCTTCTCGAACTTCAGCCTTCATCATTGGCTCAAAGCAATTCAAGATCCACACTATAAAACTTCATAGCCAGAGTAATCTCCACAAGAAGTGCCTGCAGCTCTACCGGCTCAGGATGCACCCAGAGAAGACAGAAGAGATGTGTCGAAATATGACTTTATTGTTTAATACAGCCTATCATTTAGCTATGGAAGGCCGGCCATATTGTGACTTTAGACCTCTTGCAGAACTACTGAGAAAGTGTGAACTCAAAGTGGTGGATCAGTATATGAATGAGGGAGACTGTCAAATCTTAATCCATCATATTGCTAGAGCTCTTAGAGAAGATCTCATTGAACGGGTGAGGCAATCTCCTTTCCTCAGCATCATTTTAGATGGGCAGAGTGATGATTTACTTGCTGACACCGTTGCAGTTTATGTACAGTACGTCAGCAGTGACGGACCTCCTGCCACTGAATTCCTTTCTCTCCAAGAACTGGGATTTTCTACAACGGATAGTTATGTTCAAGCATTAGATCGGGCTTTTTCATCTCTGGGTATGAGGCTGCAAGATGAAAAGCCAAGTGTTGGTTTGGGGATAGATGGTGCTAACATTACTGCCAGTCTAAGAGCAAACATATACATGACAATCAGGAAAACTCTGCCTTGGTTGCTCTGCTTACCTCTGATGGTACACAAGCCACACTTGGAAATATTGGATGCAATTAGTGGGAAAGAACTACCCTGCCTTGAGGAACTAGAGAACAACCTGAAGCAGTTACTCAGCTTTTACCGTTACTCTCCCAGGCTGATGTGTGAGCTAAGGGTCACTGCTGCTACTCTCTGTGAAGAGACTGAGTTCTTGGGAGATATTCGAGCAATCAAATGGATCATTGGGGAACAAAATGTCCTCAATGCTCTCATCAAGGACTACCTGGAAGTAGTGGCTCATCTGAAAGATGTCAGTGGCCAAACACAAAGAGCAGATGCTTCTGCTATTGCCTTGGCTCTCTTGCAATTCCTTATGGACTATCAATCCATTAAGTTAATATATTTTTTGCTTGATGTCATTGCAGTCCTTTCACGACTTGCCTTCATTTTCCAAGGTGAATACCTCCTTATATCCCAAGTAGATGATAAAATAGAGGAGGCCATCCAAGAAATTAGCAGACTGGCAGACTCTCCTGGGGAATATCTACAGGAATTTGAGGAGAATTTCCGTGAAAGCTTTAATGGTGTTGCTGTGAAAAACCTACGGGTGGCTGAAGCCAAATTCCAGTCAATTCGAGAAAAAATATGCCAGAAGACCCAAGTGATTCTGGCTCAAAGATTTGAACCTCGCAGTCGAGCATTTGTGAAAGCGTGCCAGGTTTTTGATCTTGCAGCTTGGCCCAGAAGTGCAGAAGAGCTTATGAGTTATGGCAGGGAAGACATGATGCAAATATTTGAACATCTGGAAGCAGTGCCATCGTTTTGCACAGAAATCAGCAGAGAAGGCATAGATACCAGAGGGAGTTTGCTCATGGAATGGCGAGAACTCAAGGTGGATTATTATACCAAAAATGGCTTTAAAGATTTAATCAGTCATATTTGTAAATACAGACAGAGATTTCCTCTTTTAAATAAAATAATCCAGATCCTCAAAGTCCTTCCCACTTCCACAGCATGCTGCGAAAAGGGAAGAAATGCTCTTCAGAGAGTGCGCAAAAACAATCGTTCCCGACTTACTCTGGAACAACTCAGCGATCTTTTGACAATTGCTGTAAATGGACCACCTATTGCCAACTTTGAAGCCAAACGGGCACTAGACAGTTGGTTTGAGGAGAAATCTAGCAATAGTTATGCACTGTCTGCAGAAATGTTAAGCAGGATGTCCACCCTGGATCAGAAACCTGTGCTGCAAAGCATGGACCATGGATCAGAATTTTATCCTGATATTTAACAAGGAATGCCTCTTGTTTAGAGAACTGGTGATTTTTTTTTTTAATCAATACTCTAAGCTTTGGTATATTACACATACACTCCCACACAGACACACAGACACACACACAGATGCACATGTATGATGTAAACTCACACTGAAAATGTAAGCTGATCTGATGGATGCTAAGAGAAACACAGCAACATTTACTATGTACTGACATCTTCAACTGTGGCAGCTGCAATGTAGGTGGCAACCTTTCATTTTTCAGAAACACGTACTGGGGCCATAGTCTGCATTATCAACCTGACTCAATTTATAAGCTAGACATGGCAGGCCAATGTCATCCTACATCTCTCTATGCTTTTACGTGTATGTCTGTTTTTTTACCTCTCTAGTATTTTCCTTCTGTTAGTCAGCCATTGAGCCATTTAGTCCTTTGCTTATCATCACTGGGATTTCTGAGCCCTGTGCACACAGATCGTGGATTTTGTTTCTAGCTTCTCAAGATCATATAGGTTAGATTGAATCCCTCTGGTAATCTGGTTAATTTTCAGGCTATTGTCAATTAGCCAGAATAATTTTTCTTAGCATGACACATCAGTGGGCAATTCCGGGGTTAGGCAAATGTCCTGTGAAAACTCTACTAACAAGTTCATATATCTCCTTACAATATTGATAGCATGTTCCTGTGAAAATAGCATAATTCAGATTAGGGAAATGGGGAGGGGGTGTTTTTGCATTTATATTTTTATATAGCAGGAATAAGGAAATTAATTAAAACTTCTTTACTGATAACCCAGGCTGCTGTGGAAGCTAGATAGCCAATGAGTCAAATCCTTTAAGAGGATATAGACTCCAGGGCTTAAAAATACACATATGCTAATTTTATGTTATTTATACTTGGTCTTTATAATCATAAATTGATTGTGTTTTCTGTTTGTTTGTTTGTTCGTTTGTTCTTAATAAGTGAAAGAAATACCTGCTATCTTTGTGTGCAGGATATATCAATGCAAAATTCATCTTTATTGCTTAACAATTCTCAAGGTCCTTTTCCTGGTTCACATATCCTTCTTTTACTAACATTTAAAGTTCCATTGTGTGGCTAAAAGAAAAACAGAGTATTGTGCATATACCTGTGAACTTCTTTCAAAGAGTGCATAGTCTAATAGATATGTGGACTATGAGATTTGAAGTTAAAATAATACACGCATTATGAAGAACTTTTTTTAGCTTAATAAATAAGGTTTGTTTAGGATAAACAAGCCTAAATAAACAGAGAGCCTCCACACCTGTTTGTGCCATACCCTTCTGATATATCATAAAGCAGTGTTGGGAAGTTTTGACTGTATTAGATGATCACAGAAGTAAAATATAATTTTGGCTGCAGGATCTATTAGGGTAGCATGTTTCCAGAGGGACTAAACTCATGCCAGTTTGCATTTTTTTCCTTTTAAATACAGTAAAATGATGTCAGTTACACTGAACCTATCCATTTTCCTTCTCTCCATTCCCATTTTCTTCATCTTCTTCCGGTTAGTCTTGGTGCTAAATTTCTCTGGAACCATTGCTGCTAAGTAGGTAGTTTTTCATTTATATAACAATATATTGCGTTATTTTTAAACAATATGTTTTCAGTGATAATGTAGCATGTGGTTAAAACAGTCTATCTCAGGACATATCTACACCGGCATCTTTTCCTGTATCATTTTTGTTTGTTCGATTTTAATTTGTCTTTTGATACTCATTGTTCCAGTAATCATCCTGGCTTAGTTTTTATAAGTATGTTATCGTTATGTGCAAGATTTTAAGCTTTTTTAAAAAATAATAATGTTGACATAGACTATCAAAGAAGAGGCCATCATGCCTCCACGCCACCTCTTAGAATTTGCAAATCAGTTGGAGTTTTCAGGAAAACTTGTCCAGGCGATTCCTGGGCAGAAAGGGAAAAATATCTGAGGTCTTTATAATAATGCACAAGATACAATAATGCATAAGAAGACTTTTTAAGAAATAAATAAGGAGATAAAGGAGGAGTGGGATGGGAAGTAGAGATTGAGGTTTGGAATGGAATGGAACAATCCTTTGTCCCATCTAATTGCAAAAAAGTTGCCCCTTTGCTAAGGTGGTTACCAACCTCAGTTTGGGAGTAAGAAACAGGAAGTGAACAACTAATTGACTCAATCACAGACAAGAAAACGCAGAATGTTGAACAGATGGATTTCTACCTTTAGTCACTTCCACTGCTGATGGCTCATGCTCTGCCTTCTCATTCTACACACTCTTTCTTTCTGCATAACAGAGAAGCACATAAATTTGCCCTTGATTCATTAGTAACTTCAAAAATGTTCATAAATGACATTTTATATTGGACTTAGCGGTTCCCTTTCTCCAATGTTATGTATTGGGTGATGATAAATACTGAAATTGATAAAATGATGAAATATCAAAGCCATAGGGCTTTGACCATTTGATTGTATTTATAAACACTAGGCATATCAATGGAGCTACAACAATATATATAATTTTTCTAAGCATTGGGGCAACTTGTGGTTCAGAAAGCATTACTATGACCAAAAGCGCCTATATGTATAGGCAATAAGAGAAAAGCCTTGTAGACCATGCTTCATAATGGTCTACAGTTATGAAAACAATTCACCCTGGTTGTCCCAAAGGTGCTTCCAAAAGGTACCTGGAATTTTTTAGTTTTTTCTTTGAAAATGTTTCACTTCTTGGATGAGAAGTGAAATGTTTTTGAGGAGAAAAGTAAGAAAGTCCAGTTGCCTCTTGAAAAAGCACTTTTGGGACAACCATGCCTTGGATGAATGAGGTCTCCAAAGATATTCACCCTAGTATCTTCAATTATATTTACTCCAGTTGCCGCTTATTAAAACAAGACACTTCTTGATTTTCTTGATTTTTTACTTTTCCTGTTGTCAAAGTTTTAGCCTCTGGCCCATTTACCCCATGCAGTTGATTAAGAATCTTTTGATGTTGATTTTTGAAAGAATTCATATAAGAGAACCTTTCAAAGCAAGTGAACTATGTTGATAATTTCCAGGATTTAGAAGAGAATTTGTGCTTTGCAGCACTTCTTCCCTTTGTGCGCCTGTGTTATAATAGCATGAATATATTAAATAGAGTGAATCCAACCTATGATTTATATTAGATGCAGAAAATTTCAACACAGAAAGTATAATACAGTCTTTTAAACATTAAGCTTCCTGTCTTCTAAGGTAGTCATCCTGAACCAAGAATGTTTTTCTAAAATAAGGTGCTTCAAAATTTCCTCTATAAAAGTCAGTCTACTTTCGTAATATCCATGGGTTCTTTGGGATAATTTCTCTTCTGTACTGTAATTGTTACTTAACTTGCCTCATTAATCAGGAAAGTGAAGATACCCATGCTTTTGTTCTGATTTTTTTTCATAATTCAATTATCAAAAAATTGAATTGTGCAAAATTCAGTTATCTCTAGGCTATGTAGAGAAGGTTCTGTCTAAATGGACAATAAAATGAAGGTTTGCAATACTGTATCAGAGTGCTAAGAATAAAAAAAAAATTTATGTGTGCTTTTTTAAAAAAATCTTCCCTTGCTAAAAACCATAGAAATTTAAATTTAAAGTTTAGACTGTGCTGTTAACTAAATCAGAATATGATACAAACAGCATTTTAAAATGATCTCTTCTTGGCACCAATAAAAAAGATACTCATGCACTTAATTCTGTCTTATTAAAATAAATGATGCTTAACTTTGGCTGCATTTTACAGATGCTTTCTGACATTGCAATATTTTAAAGTTACTTCCTGCTCATATATAATTAGTTAATATAATGTGGAGTCAAAAATTGGGTTGTCTTACATTTTTCTTTTTGGTCATACTTTTTATGCTATAAAAAGGTTTCCATAGCTGGGCTCAGGAATTGTCTGTTTTTCTTATATTTAAAGTCCAGATTCTTAGCATTTGGAGAAATTGTATGCAGTGTTCCTTTTCTGATGTGTTACTTCCAAAATGTAATCCAAATTATGACAGCATCATTAAATTCCTATACGCTGTTGATATCAGGTGAATGATTGTCAATTATTTTGGCTAATTAAGTGGATAAAAGAGTTTCCTAAAATAAAATAATGGTTCATTTGCAATCAATTCTATTTCACTGCCGTCATATGTAAGATTTAGGAGTATAAAGATAGATGGACCAAAATAAAGGATTCCTTTTCTGTCATATTAAAATTGAAAGTATAATTATTTGGCAAATGTTCTGGTGGAGAAAGATAGTATAAGGGATTATTGATTTGTGTAGTGGAACGTGATACGATGAAGTAATTATCTTTAACCCTAGATCATAGGGGGAGAAATCCTATTTAGAATTATTGGGGAGGTGGGGGCAAGGGTTTTTTCAGTATTATCGTTTCATTACAGAGTTGTCCATGCTGAGTTATTATATAAATGTGCATGGTCACATTCTCAAATCATAATAGAGGCTTAAATAAATTGAAGTGAGAAAAAAGGACACTAGAGGGCATCCACAGTTAATATATTGGTGCTTGTCTATTGCAACTGAAGAGCACAATAATGCTTTACCTACTGATTACAAAAACTATAGTTAATGTTATTAAAAATACTTTTTTTTTTAGTTTTCTCCCTGTAACGAGGAGCTAAAGGGGTCAAGCTCAGAAGGATCTAATTCTGAAATCTAAATAGATCCAATAACCTCTTTCATTCATTTCATTTTGTGAGGTTGTGATCTCTTATATGGTGAAAAAGATCAGTATGTGATGAAAATATTTTTAATCTATTCAGTGCCTGTGATTAACTTGACAAGTAGGGTCTGATTTCAGATTTTGCAATTATCAGCCAACTCAGGCTTTTACAGGTGTGATTCCATTGGGCACAAGCATATTAAACACACATTGATATGACGTGGAATCCAACCCGCTGGTAATGTATAAAATCTCCATGACCATCAAGCTCGGCACAGCAGTAATTATGAAAATGAAATTCAGGCCACAAACTTTCTTCCAATTTTAGCAAAAGCACAATGAAGACGCATGCATGGGTGATGCGAGCTTGTACTCTAAAGAGAGATGATTCTGCCACCCTGATTTTTGTACTGAAGTGCCTGTTTCTTGCACTTTTTGCTCATACTGGTTCATAAAGAACATTTATATATTGAGATCACAGCACATATGTGCCCATAACAAAGTATTTCAGGTTATACAGTATTTCTACTACTACTACTATTTCTGCTAGTAAGTTACTGTCAAACTTAAATAGCAGAGTGAAAAGGCTCAGTTAGAATCCTTCCTCAGTTTAATAAAATTCCTCTTAAGCACTAGCAATCTGTTCCATAGCCATTGTATCTCACTCCACTAAAATCTATGCAATTCTTATCACCCCTCGCAGGCAAGTAAAATGTATATGCATGAAACTTGGTATATGTCTACACTACCAATCTGTGTGAGGTGCAATCTAAATATATCGGTGGGACCTGAGCTTTGAAAATGCTCTTTTTTTGAGTGGGAATTCAGCACACTCTTTTCCTTCCTAGATTGCACTCATTGGCCATGCTCCAGATAGTCAAGCACTTTAACATTGTATTGATCTCAGTGGAAAATTTAAGAATAAGTCTTATAATTATTCAGTTCCCCCACTGAAATCAATTAAATAAAAGACTTCAAACTTTAGCTAGATTACGATGATACTCTATAAGGCTTATCCATTGTAACAATCAGTGTAAGAAACAAACCCTCATGCTTCTATATCACTATATAAATATTCTTTCTCATTCATATGGATACACATGAATATGAATGAGAATAGTTTGTGTGTATTTGTGAAAGTATATAAAAACAAAGAGAGAAGCAACTGCTCTCATAAAGTGAGGCCCTGAATTTATGTGAGGAATACAGCACTGATTATCACTGTTCTCGGTCTTAGCATATCTATATTTGTTTATAGTCTTATTTTGGGGGGCTCTTTCTCTTGGGATAACTATTGATTAGAAAGCATTGCTACAGTTTGGTCAGGAAAGGGAATTTTTTGCTAGCATAGTTGATAATATGCTAAAGTTCATATCACAGTATCGGGACCATCTTATAATGAATGAAAATGAACCTTACCTCTCCTTGTTACATAGCATGTACATACATATATTCTCATATATTTGGCAAATATATATTTGATTGATTTGTGCACTTTCCCCTCTGCTTACCTTGACTTAATGAGTGCAAACTTCAGGTTATTGCTCCCTGGTCAATAAAGCATGATTGTTCATTAAATTTGAAATAATATCCTTGGATTTATTATGCCAAGCCAAATCCCACTGACTTCAGTGGTAGATGCTCAGGCAACTTAGGACACAGCATTTGTTACCCGAGGACAAGATAAGGGTAAGAACTGTACGGAGAAGGGATATAGCATGAAAGGAAAGTAGAAAGGCAGGGAATAAATAGATAAATAAAGCTCTTGAATGGAAGGGTGAATGGGAGCGTGTGTGAGATGGGCACGTGTTATATTGATGAGGCACTGTGCATTGAAGAAGAGCCACTTTGCTTCAGAAAGACTAGTTTCTGCACATAAGGTACACCGGCACAGAAGGTATTTCAAATTGAACCAAGTGGCATGATAGCACTTAGAAGTGGACGAGCATTTCTCTTTGTAAGAGTGTTTCATTTAAACTTTGAAGCAAAGTACCTCTTTGAGGCTTTGCGTGGCTCTATAAAATAGGCAAATATATTTAGCTGAGGAGTCACACTGATGGCCTTCTCAGTACTGGCAATTGCATTACTGTTCCTTAGCTACCTACTTCCATTCTTTTGGGTTATTTTTCAAAGCGCAGCTAATTTCTCAACGTTCATTGAGCAAACTCAGTTGACCATTTAAGTGGTTTTTCAGGATGGTCAGTAGGTATGGGTCATCAGACAGAAAATTCTGTATCCTGAACACTGTATTAATTTAGTAATGTTGGCTTAAGGCATTATGATTGAACCACTCCGGTAACGTAATGTTAATATGACTCTATTCTTTTTGGTATGAATGGGAAATTTGGGGAGGGGGATGATGGCAAAGGTATGCCACAGTTTTCTTCATTGATGTTTGTGAAGCATATGCTCAGAGCTTTGTGAGCTACATATCCTCTTTTCTTTGCTCAAACCTGAACAAAGCCATTTGGATTTTTGCAGCTGAAAATCCATTTCTGTTGATAAGGCAGGTATCCTAAGCATTACTGATGTTCATAGGCTCAGTTGCCACATTGAAAGAATGGGGAAATTTAAGATTTGGACTTCCAATCGTACTGGCACTATATATTATCTTATGCAAGTTTTATTAGTAGCATTATTAGTATTATTATTGTTAGGGGCTGGAAGGGAGAATGTGGGAATCATTTTTTCTCCACCATGTGACTGCTTGCACTGGCGTTACGCAGCTTTGATGTTGAGCGAGCTTGTGCTGAACACATCTGCTGATAAAGTTTTGTTACTTTCTTGTACTATGCCACACAACTCTGGAAACTCACCTCAGTTACAAACCTGGCTGACCTGAAACTCCAGAAGTTTCAGAACTGTAAGCCCCTACAGGAATGGCTACCTAAAATCTTTTCCTCAGGACTGAATCTCATGGATAGTTATGGTATATTTTCATGGCTATTGGACTTTCTTCCAGCCCATGTGCTGCCAACAAAGCACCCTCATTCTACACCAAAATCTCTCAACATTGCACTTCTTCCCAGCTGACTCAAGAGAGGTGCATCACCCAAACGATCCATTATGGAAGTGCAACAAGGAAGTCTCCAGAACTCTCTCAGGCATTTCCACACAACTCAATTTGCAGATACAAGGGGGTGCCTCAGACCTCCTCCTATTTGCCTTTACCCGTCTTCCCCTCACAGACTCAATTCCAAACTGTTTAATCATGCACATGTATAAATGAGGGGAGGGGGAGAAACAATCTAGAAATCTATTACTACGTATGTATTAAAAATGTTAATATCACACCTTTTCTGACAATGTTTAAAAAGTTATTACTTTGCAGACTATGCTTTATAGTACCTGTGTGAGGGGCTAGGACACTGGATACGAATAGAGCTATGTTGATATATAATAGTATGTACACGAGAATCTTCATTTTGTCATACATTATACTTGTAATGTAATATGATTAATTAAAAACACTTCAGTTTATTAAAGTGAGTCAGTGTACCTTTATCCTAAGACATGGGCTGAAGTTTATTGCATATTAATTTTTGTTAGTCTTTAAAGCTAAGAAAATAGTGTTATTCTTGCTATTGCAAGCGAATTGGAATAGTCCTTATTGTTTTATAACATGTTTGTTAAATTCTCCATTAAAATGGAAACAACATGCATTGGAAAGAGACCGCTTCAATGGGGATTATCTGTTGTTTGCCCTTGTAAATCACTGCTTCTGAGTTGTGGTTTCAGTAGAGGCACCTCACTTCTACTCCTCTGCTCTCCAAACTATCCATTTTTAGTCACATTTTTATCAGTTGATAGCCATGGCAAATGCCAAACATGTTTTTTCAAGCTGTTGCACTTTGTGATTTTTGTCTCATGCTTTCAATGTTCTTTATTTCTTTATTTCTTTTAATTTGATTTATATGCCGCCCTTCTCCGAAGACTCGGCGGCTTACAATGCGTTAAGCAATAGCCTTCATACTTTTATATATTTATACAAAGTCAGCTTATTGCCCCCACAATCTGGGTCCTCATTTTACCTACCTTAGAAAGGATGGAAGGCTGAGTCAACCTTGAGCCTGGTGAGATTCGAACTTGCAGTAATTGCAGGCAGCTGATGTTAATAACAGTGCTTTAGTCTGCTGCGCTACTAGGCTCAATTTTTGGAGAAATTGAACATAAACATCATTTAAGGTTTTGAAGACCAGATCAAACTTGCCATACTGACTGAGGATGGAGCAGGGAGGAAGAAAACTGTTCTGTTTGGGTGTCTGCCAATAGTGAAGAAGAATGTTACTAAGAATGTCACAAGTGACAAAGACTATATTGACTACTTTCTGAGAAAGATTTGAGCCACAGAACCTTTCTAGACATACTCCCTCTCCTCAAGAATCAGCTGAAGAGTTCTCACATCACCACAGTTTAGTAATCTCATCCCAAAACCTTGACAGAAATACTAAACTTGCATGCATTTTCAGTGTTGTTGCATTGATCATGCATAAGAATGATATTTGGCATTAATAATATGTTATCACCCCATTCATATTAGATTGACTACAAATGTTACAGTAATTAAGGCTAGATAGCTGAGAAATTCACAAAAATAAAATCAGAATATAGTCAAATAACATCACTCTCTAGTTAACAGCACTCCATAATGTCATGCTGGCCAGATAACCATGGAAATGTCTTCGGACAGTGCTAGCTCAACGGCCTTGAAATGGAGATGAGCATTGCCCCCCTATAGTTGGCAATGACCAACGGAGTAAAATCCACAATGACTCCTTCACCTTTTTTTACCTAATAAAAAACCTCCTACTGGTAGCATCTGATGTACCATGGCTGTTTTTGTTGCAAAAAATAGGAACATCAGGAGACAGATGTTCTTCAAAGATTTTTTTCCCCAGAAGAAAAGGAATAAATGCTTATATACTTGTGAAAAATTGTTGTCCTTGTGTGTCCATCTGTTCATATCTATATGTGTGTGCAACTGTGTGTGATTTACTTAGCAATTTGATATCGCTTTAATTAACTATGATTTAAAAACAAATACACTGCTACATGTGTATTTCCAGCAGACATATTTCTTAAAAGAAAATAAAAAGAAAAGTCTCCTTTGAGCCAAGCTGGACTCCATATGACTTTAGAAATATATTTTGTTGGGTTTTTTTTCCCACCCAGAACATAAAAGTGGTTTTCTACTGCTGCATTCTGGAGTCTTATTTTGGCCTCTCGGGGCAGACTATATACCCTTGGATTTTCCCAACCAAGTGCTAACCAGGTTTCCCTCTGCTTAGTGATATAAAAAGGATGTTGAGACTCTCGAAAGACTACAGAAAAGTGCAACAAGATGATTAGGGGACTGGAAGATAAAACCTACAAAGAACAGTTGCATGAATTGAGTATATCTAGTTCAGTGAAAAGAAGAACTAGGGGTAACATGATAGCAGTCTTCCAATATCTAAGGGGCTGCCCCAAAGAAAAGAGGGTCAACTTATTCTCCAAAGTACCTGAAGGCAGAACTAGGAGCAATGGATGGAAACTAATCAAGGATACAATCAACCTAGAACTAAGGAGAAGTTTCCTGACAGTTAGAACAATTAATCAGGGAACGACTTGCCTTCAGAAGTTGTGGATGCTCCATCATTGAAGGTTTTTAAGATGAGATTGGACAACCATTTATCAGAAAGGTTGTAGGGTTTCCTGCTTGAGTAGGGGGTTGGACTAAAAGACCGCCAAGTTCTTCCAACTCCGTTATTCTGTTACTTTGTTTAGCTTATTACAAATATTTGTATTCTTGATCATACAAACCAGCTGTCTGTCCAGTAAGAAGCAGAATCACAAGGGATATGTATGTAACTTCTTTTCCATTCAACAATTCATCTATCTGATCCTCCCTTTGCTTCTCCTATATAGATGCTGCTGACTGTACCAAAGGTAAAATACAGCAGAATCTCATTTATTTGCTCTCCTCCTGTTCCAGTCCTTTATTCCGTCAAAGCATTTTGCCTCCTTCTCATGAAAGTGTGACAGAAACTGTCAGTTACATAGAAACAGCTTTTGGGTTGCATGCTTCTAGATCCTCCTGCTCACTCTAATTATGAGCAAATTGCCTTATGTTGAACTTGCCTTCAAAGGCCTGTTCTCTGAAGGAATAAAATAATCCTTTCCCCCTGCTTCAAAGTTCCATTCTGTCTGCCTGATGTGAAAACAACAATGAAAAAGAAACTGGCAATGGGCTTTAATCAAGTGAGACTAGCAGCTTTTTTGTTTTGATTTTCCCCCCCTTCAGCAGTACCAGCACTCCAGTAATGGAAAAGAGGATATGCATATAAAAAAATAGTTCTGCTGTAAAAGAAATGAATTTTCCTCATCAATTTTTATTCAAATACACTGGTCTCTGAAACTATACAGGCGTATTCATAATATCCCATGAGAAGACGTGATTTCTAGTGATATTTTCAAGGGAGGTGAGGAAAAATGATTCAAAAGTATGACTTTTCTGATACTGCTGACTGGTTTCCATGGAGATATTTGCCATCTTATCCATTTCCATTTCCCCACCTCCACTACTTTTTCTGAAATCACAGGAAGATGAGTGAGACACCAGTAAAAAGGTAAAGCAGATGCTTTCATATTTTTATGTACACCTTAAATGTTTGTAAAGAAAGCAGACATCTTCTTTGATAGGCTGTCATTTCAGGAATGTCAGTCAACTGTCACTGATCATTTATCTATTTTTTAACATTAAAAAATACAGAATATAGACAAAACAAGTAAACAAGATAATCCTTGTACTTTAAAAAAAAAAGATAGAGAGAAAACAATGAATTAAAAAAATCTACATACATGTTTACATATCGATATCCACAATATGTAATACTACATATGTAGTATGTAGTACGATATGTAATATGTAATATTAGCAATACAATAGTATCAAATACAAAATATTATTTTAATATATCATAAAAGCTCTTCTAGAATTAAAATTAGGCTATAATTTTAGATGTGAAAACTAAAATGTGGATGTTGCACAAATCCATATATTAAATTATAACCCAAGAATGGTTTTCATTTAGAATTAAATTCTGCATCAGATTTGCCTTTTAAATGTAAGGTTATTCTGGATATTGAGATGTGATCCCACCATTTAGTTAGGTATTTATTCAAAGAAGTAAGTTCTGAGTTAATGGGAGAGGCTACTTCAGGCATGTCTCTGTCCAGGGCTGTTCTATTTCAGGACTATTTACCTATAGGAAGCGGGAGAATCTGGGGTCTTCCCAGGAGTGGGCTTCAAAAATTTTAGCAAGGGGTTCTCTACCCAATTGTTGGTGGGCATGGCCATGGTGGGCATGGCCTAGTCAGCTTCCTGCACCATGGTGGGGGGGGGGGTTTGCCCTCCCCAGGCACTGGAGGCTCTCCTCGAACCTCCGGGAGGGCAAAAATGGCCTCCCCAAGCTCCGGAGGCCCTCTGGAGGTCCTCTGAACTTCTGGTAGGCCCATTTTTCACCCTCCCTGAGCCTCCATACATGCCCCGCACTTACCTGCATCCAAAATGGGCCGTGTGGGGACTCCGTGGAGGGGCAGGGTGGGCGGGGCCAGCCAGGAATGGGATTTGGGGGTTCTCCGAATGGTACAGAATCTTAGCTAGAGATTCTCCTGAATCCCTGCGAACCCCCAGAAGCCCACCCCTGGGTCTTCCACTGCTGAAACTTCTCCAACTTCTGCTAATCCACCTGGGGCAGGAAAAACAGAAAGATGAGGGAAAGCAGGAGAACTTGGAGATGCCAGCTCTGCCAAAGCTAAAAGATCCATTTTTTCTCCCAGAAGAGAGAAGGGTTAGAGAAGCCCACCAAAGAGCCATTCTCCCTAATTTCTCTTCCTCCGCTTCCTGTGGATGCCATAGGAGAGAGGAGGAAAGGATTGGGTTCTTTGGGGTATCAGTTCTCACACTCTGTCATTGAAGGTCCACTTTGCTGCACAGCTGTTGCTGCAGAAATGCTTGTACTGTGGCACAGCTGCCTGCCCTTCTTTAGTTTAGGTCTTCGTCTTCACAGGGCCAAAACCTGTGAGGAGGAGACACTTTAAACCAGAAGTGGGGACTCTTCTGCCTGCCCTCCTCCAGAAAGGTGAAAAAAAATCTGGTTGTCTTCTTCCCTCACTGTGGAGATAGGTGAAGAATAACTCTTTCGCTGTCTATCTATGGCCACCATCAAAGGAGGGCTCCTTCATCTCCGGGACACTCATTGCAGACAGACTTCTACTCTATTTTATTGCCAAAGTATGGTCAGCATTTCTTTTGGCTGGTATCCTTTTGTACCTGGGTAAACAGCACTATTTTCTTCTCTATTGATTGTTATCATAGGAAAGTTATCTATTCCACTTGTGCCTGCCTTCATTTGGTGAAAGAGAAAATTTCATATGCTACTTAGAAATTTCTTTGCAAGCCCATCCTTGGCAGACTTGGTCTCCCAAATGTCCGAATATTCAG